GGTAACTTATCATGGCAAATAACTTGTTGTCAAACTGTCTAGTTTTTTACCAATGGACGGATAATTAGAAAATTAAGCTAGTGTTTTTTATATAGAAATATTATTTTTGACTTATTTTCATTTAAAAACACTTATTAAACATCCTTATAATGTAAAAACAAATTGATCAACGATCAAAACACCCTAAAATTTGCTTAAAAACACAAAATCAAACCAAAACAAAAAACATTTCTTAACCCTGATTTTTTTTTGGCAAAATGAAGGGAAAAAATATCCCAATAAAAATTCTCTTATCAAATAAAACCTATTAACATCTATTAGCATGAAGAACAATTTTTCTGTGTTTGAAATGTAGTCATCTAATAATTTTCTTTCTTTTTCACTTTTTCTCTTTCACTGTTTTTTAATGACTTCCTATTTCATCAACTAAAAAATAAACAAATTGATGTTTGGATTGAAACTAAAACTTTTGGATCAAAACTAAAACTTTAAAAACTAAATGGATTAAAAATGAATTAAAACCACCTAATTTTTTTTATATTTTTTATTTTAGTCCTCTTTTTTAAATTATTTTTTCTGCAACAAATTAGATGTGAGTGGTCATTAAAATGGCGAAAAAATATACAGTTGAGGAGAAAAAAACTCATTACTAAAATCCATGGTGAATTTAGGCATTTCTAGAGAAGACGTGCATTGCAGAAAAAGCCTATCTGTGGTAGTTTTCTCTGTACTTTCCTCTTTTGAATTTTGAACATAAACCTCATTCGTGCTTTAAAAAAAATGCATCGCCATATCAACGAGCATTTTGGTGGCCAAAGACACAAATGCATCGTTCATCAACACCAGCAGTAAATCATTAATTTACGTGTAATTTTGATATCGATCATGTAAATTTCGGCCACAAACCTAGCAAGACGTCCACGTGCCCTAGCTCATCTTCTCATAATACTGGATCAAAATTAAGTTTATCTTAACCATCTACTGTAGGTGATTTAATAATAAGTGTTTGAAATCAAGAAATTATCTCTCAGCAGCTTTATATTTAATTCATGTAATTTTTAATATGTTGATTATTAAAAACTTATATAATTATTAATTTTAAAATTTATAAAATTAATCAAGATATATACAAGTTAAATGAATATTTACATTAATATATATATAAAAAAATTTAAGTTTATCTTCTATACATGATAAAATTTGTAGGTAAAGATTCCTTTGATTTGCCTCATGTTTTCTATTGAGTACGTAGAGTAAACTATAAGTACATAGAATAATATTGTCTCATACCTTGCAAATCAACCTCTATTTTTTATACGCATGCATGTGAATTCAAAAGATTTAAATCATGATACCTTGAGAAGATGAAATTAAAAACCCACCATTATTCAAAGTTTGTTGGAGCTCTTGGCTATCTCCAGCAAGAATTTAACAACATAGGTATAACTACCAAACACACACACACACACTTAATTCTGGCATTATATAATATATAGCTAAGTCAACTCTTAAGATGTTTAATGACATAGATATAATTAAAGAGTAAGCCATGCACAAGCAAACACTAGATTCGTGACAAGTAATTACCTGAAATAGTTTATGTTATGTAAGCAAATATTAGATTTATAAGCCATGCATTATAAAAAAAAAATTATGATGACGAACTGCTTTCAGGAACTTTCCACAACAGGGCCATCGATTGATATATTACAGCCACGTAAATGATAGATGAATAGAAGATTCACATAATCTATATGTTTATGTTCTTAATAATTTAACGTGTATACGCGCAGGCACATGTCATCACGGTAATCTAAAGACTTAAATATACATGTAATTAATCTTTTAAATTAAATAGCATTGTCACGTAGACAGCAAACAGGGAGACAGGGGACTAAGATTTCTTCTTCTTCTTCTTCTTTTTTCCGCTGTTGAGCTTGGCTAGATAATTAAGATCATAGTTTGAATAATAAATCTCTTTTGTATTGTATTAGATACCTAGAATATATGTATAACATTCTTAATTCGATGTTATTTCTATTAATAATGGTTAATGACAACATTGCTAGGGATGTTATAGAATATAATAGATCATGTATTAAGACTTCACATGACAATTTAGATTTTTAAATTAAAATAGTTTTTTGATATGATATCAAAATTTAATGATAAAATAATTATAAGTTTGGATCTTATTATTTTTATTTTTTATTTTAATTCAAATTAATTATTAAAATAAGGTAGTGCAAGTTCAAGAAGGTTTCAACTTTCAAAAAATTTCACTTGAGAGTTTATATTGAAAAATAATATATTAAAATCTCATCTAATTACTTAAACTTTTAGATTCATATGATTCTTTTACAAGAGCACCCTCTTAATTTACATTTTCGTTTTAATTAAAATGTTCATTAGATTATTAAGTGGTTAATTCCATCAGGACATTTATTTCCTTGTACATGTAATTTCCTTAATTACAAAAGTAATTAAGGAAATTAATGATCTAAAAACAAAGTCTTTCTTTTTCATCTTAATTCCAGTCGAACATGTTGTCAAATATGACTTTACTAGCCAAACTAACTTGTTCTTCGAGATCAAATCAATGTACTGAAGTTCTTGTATGTGTTCCAAGAAGTAAAAACATAAGAAAGGTGAACAAGTTGAGCAAGCAAGGTTCAGGAAATTACCATATTGACCTAGGGCAAAAATAGCTAGGTGCATGTAATATAATAATATCTGACCAATTATGGCTTTGATTGTTAGCTAGAGAGTGGATGAAATTAACACCAGATTTTCAATGACTTTGAATTTGGTTCCACAGATGGAGTGTAGCCTTTCAAGCTTCCACAGAGGAGGCAAACATGTAATATTTGGACTATCAAGGGACAATTGTCGACAAGGTCATTGAGAAGAGAAGGTTGACTTTATTGTTGGAGTTAGAAAGCACACCTGTAATTTCATGCTACGTGGTTGGATCTTGGTGGTCGATTTAGACTGATCCAGCTTGGAAGATCATTACAGGCCACTCATACAAACACACCTGTTAAGGTCAGTGGCAAAGCAGCAGACATTATGTTGAAATATTATCACGAGGAAATCAAGACGGAGCTAACAAATATTCGATAAATTTGAAAGACAATATTAAGCCCTAGCTCCTATATAATATTGTTGTTATATGTTGATGAATGGCATAGAAATGAAAAATTGCAGCATTGCCAAAATCCCACCCTATTTTATTTTATTTTATTTTCCTGGCTTGCAAATTTTGCCCTCTAGAATGAATAAAGGCAATGTATTAAAGAGAATTAATGTCTAATTAATAAATTAATTCCAATTCTTTTTATATTGGATGCAATCGCAAACTATTTATTGTGTATATGGTTATGAATTTTGGTATAATTTTAGGATCATAAATAAAGAGACAATGTAAGGTTTCTCGGTAATTGGGACAATTAAATAAACATATTATAAGATAAAAAAGATAAAAATATATTTACTTAAAATAAAAAAACTAAAATATAAAATAAATACAATCCCGAGATTGTTTTGAAATCAATTTATATTTTTTTCAAAACATAATGTATAAGAAAACATATTTTATCTGTTCTTGTTTCTGTATTTATTATCTTGATATAGTAATTAAATGTTATTAATTAATTATAGAGCTAGATTACTAGTCATTTTGTAGCTGAAAACTCTTCGAATCCAGCAGTGATCATTTTTCAAGTATAATTAAATTGCAAATCCATTATCAGCATATGTTGAGATTAAAATCAATGGAAGTTATAAACTCTTGTTCTTAATAGCAACTATGTACTCATATATTTCCACGTACAGTAAATCTCATATGGTTACTTAATTTTGCTTAGCTATTAGAGTACTGTGCTGAAATGCTGATGATCAAAGCTTACGTAGGGAGCCTAATCATCTCTAAAATGGGCAAATGATTTAAAATAAATGATAGCAACCAGCCACGCAACTGAGTAAAAAGTTCTCCGATCATGTCTAACCACTCTACCGTCCAATCAATATTCTCATCTTGGACTCGTACAAAAACAAAGTCAAACACATTACACGGTTATCGCTTCTCTGTATGATCCAAATTTCGTTTAATCCATCTATGTTCATAGGCATTCACACCATGATCTTCAATTTGATCTGCTGATAGTTAAAGTTGCCTGTTTTCGTAGCATGTATCTTTCAGACTTTCAAAGCTTTTTGACCCTTTTCATTTTACATGTATTTGCAATCTCAAGAACAAGGGTTTCTTCAATCTGGGAACTTGATGTGAAGATGGAAGCATTTCTCCTTGATAAAACGAAATTAATTGGAATAAGAATTTTTTTTTTTTGTTTAAAGTCTTTAGATCATCCATAATTATTTATGAATTAACTTGTAATTCAATGATAGTTTTGTTTATGTAAAGATACATATAGTGGAGTTCCATATTCAAATTTCACCTTTATCATAAACTTTTATTAAATTGAAACACAATCGCAATAAAAATCCCTAATTATTTGTTAACTATGTATCAATTTTTATAAATTGAGATCAAGTTTTAATTATGATATCCATACCTATATTATTATATTTATATATAAAAAAATAATTATTTCTTACACCCTCTTATTCAAATCATGCAGCCCACACTCTACAAACTTTTTTGCGGCAGAAAAATCAATGTTACGTGTCACTTTTTTAATTTATATCAATCATGTAATTGTGCATAATTACTAGATTGCAAACCCATATATATTATACATGTGTGTTAGTATGTAATTGTGCATAATTACTAGATTGCATACCCATATATATTATAATGCATGTGTGTTATTGTATTATTAACATGGAGAAGAAAGATACGTACGTGGCCAGAGGTCGGCACCAAATCTTTTTGACTTGAAATTTCTCTGTCCC